TTTATATTATAAAGATAAGTTATTCTCATTTCTTTCTTCTCTCTTTTCTCTTCTTCTTCAATTCATCACTAAGTTCAAGCTGATATGAAAACTATTAAAACACTCTTAGAAATCCTCAAATTGAAGAGTATAGACTAATCAAATTTTAAATACAGATGAATCAAATTATATTCAATAATACTAATTATTCATTTCTTTCTTAATAAAACAATAGTTATATCTTTCTCTTCCTCTTCTAAACAAAACATGGCCTGTGAAAAGTGAGTATCATGCCAGGCTATAATCATTAACACAGTCTCAGCACACAGAGCTGTATACATACAGTACATACTGAACTGAAAGACTGTGTGAGTTGTAAACTGATAGCAGCATCTCAGAGAGAGCTGTGCAGTATAAGAAAGCTGTAACTCTTAGTCACATGTATAGAGAATAAATTGCTGCAGTAAGTACATATGCATTGTATGAAGTAATGCTTTTTAATAATACTCAGTCTCTGATATCATGAAAATAGAGTCTCTCTGTGAGATCTGTTTTTATCAGAAGTTAGAGAATCTTATATTTCTCAAGATTATTTTCACATATCTTGTCTGTGAAATTGATGAAGAGAATCATTGATTTCAGTGTTCTATTCTTGATATTATTCAAGTGACAGCAGAGTTCACTCTGATTATACTTTTTAAGTGTATATTTTCTAATTATTCACATTTATACAGATATATACAGATTATTTATTAGATTATATTAAAATAATAACTTATTATAACTATATCACTCTCATTGTGAGAAATACATAGTTAATAATAAATATTGTAAAGACTCTGAGAAGTGAGTATTTTAAAAATACTACAGCTCTATAATCTTGATTTTTTTTGTTTTTATTTTTTATTTTTTTATTTTTTTTTTATTTTTTTTTCTTTCTCTTTTTTTAATTTTTTTTTTTCATTGTGATTATTTCTTATTTTTATTTTTTTCTTGGTTTTTATTTTTTTCTGTATTTTATATTTTTTTATAATTAAAATTATATAAATTATAATCTGTATTTATAAAAGTAATAATATTTAATAATACTCTCTATTAAATTTTCAATAAATAAGTACTATATTATGATATTATATATAGACTGACTGCTGAGACTATGAATTTTACATTTAGTCTCATTTAATCTAGTCTCATACATTTCTTAGTGTGAATTTCACTGAGACTAGTTATTAAAAAAACATGCAAAGTGACTATATATTAAATCTCAAAATGAAATCATAACTTGAAAAAAATGAGAAAGTGATCTCATTTAGTCTTATTTAGTCTCATTCTTAGTATAAAGTAACTATTTTTAAACATTTTAAGGTTTTTTTTAGACTATTTTTAATTTTTTAAAAAGTAACACTTTTTGATAATACTTAAATAAGATTTAAAGTTATTTAAAGTAATAAAAATAATTTAAATTGAGAAGTGAAAATCATAATCTTATTTGAAAAATGTGATAAGAGTAGACAGTAAGTTTCACTGAAACAGTATAAGACTACTATCTAATGTTAAAACTGTGTAATGAAATCAGTTAAATTAATAATAAGACTATCAAAAATTCTGATTCTGATCTCAGACATGATCACACAGTCAGTCTAATTATGTAAGTGAGAAATGATTTTATAATTTCATTTAATATTATTCTCAGTAATGAGATCAGAATGAAAATATAACTAAGAATTTAAATATATTCTTTATCTGAAACTAGATTTTTATTTGAAAAGTGAATCTGAAATCTTTAATATTTAAAATAACATGATTTGAAATCAATGTAATGAATATAAATTATAATCAGAAGTAATGCTTTTAAGTAATATAATAACTATAAAGTTTGATTCTGATTTCAGACACAGTGACATAGTCAGTCTACTTATTACATTTTTCAAATAAGATTATAATTTTCACTTCTCAATTTAAATTCACTTTATTACTTTAAATGACTTTAAATCTCATTTAAGTGTTATCAAAAATCATTACTGTTTTAAAACACTAAAAATTGTCTAAAAAAACCTTAAAATGTCTAAAAATAGTATCATTATACTAAGAATGAGACTAAATGAGATTAAATAAGATTACTTTCTTATTTTTTCTAAGTTATAGTCTTATTTTAAGATCTGATAAATAGTCAGTTTACATGTTTTTTTTAATAATTAGTCTTAGTAAAATTCATATTAGAAAATGTATAAGATCAGATTAAATAAGATTAAATATGAAATTTATAATTCTACTAATTAGTTTACAAGAGCTGCTAACTCTATTAATTATATAAGAAATAGAAATAGAGATAAAGAATTTATAAAAAGTGAGATTTCTTACATTCTCTATTCTGAAGAGAATTAAACTAATTAAAGCATAGTTTCTTAATAATGTATTTTCAGTGAAGTGTAAAATTTCTAGATGAATGATGAATAAGAATACTCTAGATATAAATATCTTTTATATAATTTATTAATATCACTCAGTTCTAGACTGACCGTGTAACCGTGTCTGAGATCAGAACCAGATTTTTTGATAGTTTCATTATCAATTCAACTGATCTCATTACATGGTTTTAACATTAGATAGTAGTTTCATACTATCTCAGTGAGACTTACTGTCTACTCTTGACACATTTTTCAAATGAGATCATGATTTCCACTTCTCAATTTAAATTATTTTTATTGCTTTAAATGACTTTAAATCTCATTTGAGTGTTACCAAAAAGTGTTACTTTTTAAAAAATTAAAAATAGTCTAAAAAAAACCTTAAAATGTCTAAAAATAGTAACTTTATACTAAGAATGAGACTAAATAAAACCAAATGAGATCACTTTCTCATTTTTTTCAAGTCATAGTTTCATTTTAAGATCTGATATATAGTCACTTTACATGTTTTTTTGATAGTTAGTCCCAGTGGGATTCACGCCAAGAAATGTATGAGACCAGATCAAATGAAATCAAACATGAAATTCATGGTTCTAGCGGCCAGTCTACTCAGTTCAATCATAGTTTTTTTTATTATAAGAGTATAATTGTTTAATTTACTATTATTTAAGTCTAATCTGTCATTACTGAAACTTAATTCAGTGTTTTATTTTCACAGAATATCTTTCTATCTGATAACTCTTCTTTAAGTAAGTGTAAATAAAATCTCACTTTTCAGAGTGATTTTTTAAAAGATATTTTTATAACAGATTTTTCAGACTTAATCTGTTATTATAATATTAAACTCTTCTATCTATATAACTCTCAGAGTAAATATAACTTACTCTATACAGTCAGAAAGCTTTATAATTTAAAAAATCAGTTAGAAAATACTGAAGAGTAAATATAATTATAATTTTAAATACTGAAGTACTGAATTCACTACTAACAGTTACTATAGAATTAAATTTTTCATG